ATTCTAAATAGTAAAATGCACCAGTGGATTTTGATAATACATAGAGATAGCTAGCTAGCTAGCTAGGTAGATAGATAGATAGATAGATAACAGATAGACGGATGGCAGGTAGAGATAGACATATAGTAATACCTAGAGCAACTATTGAAAAGGCTATAAAAATCGATATACTCAAAAACACTGTAGGTAAAACAAAATGGAATCCTAAAAAATATTCAGGAAGACAGGGAAAAAGGAAAGCAGAAATGAAAAACAATAAACAAAAAACAAGAAATAAAATGATGTATTTAAACTGTAACATATAAATAATTACATTACAGGTTAGTGGTCTAAATACGTCAGTTAAAAGACAGAGATTGGCAGACTGGATTCAAAAGATGACCCAGGGCTTCCCTGGTGGCGCAGTGTTAAGAATCCTCCTGCCAATGCAGGGTACACGAGTTCGAGCCCTGGTCTGGGAAGATCCCACATGCTGTGGAGCAACTAAGCCCATGTGCCACAACTACTGAGCCTGCGCTCTAGAGCCTGCGAGCCATAACTACTGAGCCCACATGCCACAACTACCGAAGCCCACGTACCTAGAGCCCGTGCTCCGCAACAAGAGAAGCTGCTGCAATGAGAAGCCCACGCACTGCAACAAAGAGTAGCTCCCACTTGCCACAACTAGAGAAAGCGCATGCACAGCAACGAAGACCCAACACAGCCAAAAATAAAAATAAAATAGATAAATTTATTTAAATAAATTAATTAATTAAAAAAAAAAATGACCCAACTACATGCAGTCTATAAGAAACTCAGTTTAAATATATCATATGTTGAGAGTAAAGTGTGGAAGAAAATATACCATGCAAACGTTAATCAAAAGATAGCAGGAGAAACTATGTAAATACCAGACAAAGTCAATTTCAGAATAAAGAAAATTACCAAGGACATAGAGGGACACAACATAATGATAAAAGGGTCAATCCACCAAGCAAACAGGACAATCCTAAATGTATATGCACCAAAGAGATCAGTGGTTTGGATTCTACAGAGTGTTAATTTTCCAGTGCTACGTAATAAATTACCCCAAAACTTAGTAGTTTAAAACAATAATAAACATTCATTATCTCCTGTTGGTCAGAAATTCAGGAGCAGCTTAGCTGGTCAATTATGACTTGGAGTCTCTCATAAGGTTGAGTCAAGGTGTTGGTCAGGGCTTCGGGCTTCAGATGACTGGGGCTGGTGAATCCACTTCCAAGGTTACTCACACAAATGGATGGCAAGTTGGTTCTGTTTGTTAGTAAGGGCCTCAGTTTCTCTCCATACAGGCCTCTCCACAGGCTGCTTCACTGTCCTCATAACATGGCAGCCGGCTTCCCACAGAAGAGGGGGATTTCAAGGAGGAAGTCACAATACCTTTTACGTCCTAGTCTCAGAAGTCATAAACTGTCACTTCTGCCACCTTCTATTCACTGGAAGCACATCGCTAAGTCTGCCCTGCATTCAAGTGGAGGAGAATTCAATTCCTTTTTTCTTTGGCTGGGCCACTTGGCTTGTGGGATCTTAGTTCCCCCACCAGGTATTGAACCCAGGCCCTCAGCAGTGAACACGCAGAGTCCTAACCACTGAACAGCCAGGGAACTCCCCAGTTCTACATTTTAAAGGGAGGAATGTCAAATAATTTGCTGATATAGTTTAAAACCACCACATATGGGAAGCCAGGCATGCTTGGTTAAACTCAACTGCCCTTTAATTGATTCAGTGACACCTCTAGAACAGATGCCATCACCTGACTCATCTGAATTTCCACTTAAGAGTGAGCTCAGCCTCTGTTTGATCTTTGTCTCCATAACTGAAAAATAAAAACCGCTTAGGGACAAAGGGAGACACCAAACCAACATAGCCCAGATCACCTTCAACCTCTTGACCACCTCCAACCTCTAGCCACCTCCCTTTGGCCACCTGTATTCCCTACCTTTGTCTGGTTGTCTTCTGGATTTCAGGCTGGCTGATACATTCTCCCAACGTTCTGCACGGGACGGCAAAGCTCTGTAAGGATGCCATCAAATGCAGGCTGCCCTGTGTCTATTTATACCTCTGCATCTCAAAATTAAGTGTGATTTTGAATCTGAACTCCTTCACCAGGGGGTAGTTTTTGGAAATATGTAGTCTCTGTGAGATGCTTTGGATCAACTTCAGAGTATTCTCATTGTGGAAGGCGGCATTGCTGTGCCCCTTGTCCAGGCCCCTGGGGAACAGAAGTCTCCTCACAGCAGCCCCCTGGGCTAGGAAAGAATCCTATCAGCTGCCCACTCCAGGAGCTGCTGTTGCCCCAGAAGGAGAGGCGTGACTGCCTGATAAATGAAATTGCTGTGCTTACATGACATGCATCCACACGTTTAAGTCTCATAACATTGTCCCCATTTCTAGATGAGAACTGCCACCCTGAGAGGCACAGAATCCTGCCTGGCTCTCTCTGGCACTAAAGCCACACAATACACCCCTTCTCTCCCAGCAGTAATTGCTGGCCACCCTGACTGTGTCTTCCAAGCTGTTATTTGGGCCCTTTTATAGACAAGGAGGGTCTTTCTAGGGCAATGTGAGGGACTGCTGAAGTGCTGTCTTCTGCTGTGGATGGCTGCCCAGGAGAGCCTTGCCTCAATGGCTTCCTCCTCTCCTGAGTGTTGGAGGGACCTGAGGGGTTGCTAATCACCTGCCAAAAGTGACCTTGAGATCCAGGCCCCTAGAAGTTTCCACAAAGCAAAGGATCTCTCTTCTTTTGCCTTTTTACTTCATTTACCACACACCATCTGGTTTGAGGAAAAGGAGAGATGAGCTTGCAGAAAGTTCCCCATTTGAAAGGAGGGGACAGAAGCACCCTACAGAAGTAAGATTTGCAGAACTGTTAGGGGAATAAAAAAGAAGAAGTAAGATTTTCAGGGAATTAATTCCCTGGCGGTCCAGTGGTTAGGCCTCCACACTTTCACTGCCGAGGGTGCGGGTTCAATCCCTGGTTGGGGAACTAAGGTCCTGCAAGCCATGTGGCACAGCCAAAACAAAAAAAAAGTAAGATGTGCAAAACTGTTGGAGGGGAGGGGAAGAAGTAAGATTTGCAACAGTTGGGAAGTGCAGTGCAAGAGCCAGTATTTCCATAAACCAACTACTATCTCTAGTAAGAAGAACACTGATCACGTATGACATGTTTAAAGGGGTTTGCTGTAAAAATGTTAGTTGTGATTATTTATATACTTTCAGTGGATCCAAAAAAGCTTGCTGTGTCCATCAAAACTGTCAGACCAGTTGTTCTCTTTGCAGTGAACGGTCCTTAGAATTTGCACCCAGCGCTGGGCAGGGCCCTCTGTTCTCCTGAGGGCCCTCTGGGCATCTGGACACAGTCTGGACATTGAGAAGAGAAGCATTTGGTGCCAGGCTCAATGGCTCAGGCATGAGTTGGCCTTTACTTTTGAGAATTTTTATCAGAAGTCTTCAAATCTTACTAGTTATCACATTTAAATTCACAAACCTCAAATGCTTAGGAGTCTCTACCCACTCATAAGATATAGGAAGAGGACAAAAATATGAATTTCATGAAAACATTCTTTGGTGTCTTGGAGTCATTGGTAGTCACAGATAACTCACTGCCAGAATGAGCGCTGCCTAGGGAGAAAACAGGGGCTGACCCCATAAAGGAGTCTTAATCCCATACAATCCAGCTTTTGACCCTGGACTCAGAAGCTAGACAGTTGGCCTCATTAACATTAGGACATCATTGAGACATCCTAATAAAACCAACCTTGGAGTTAACCCCAGGTTAGAATGTAACTTTAACAGGTGTCTACTACCTGCATTTGCACTTTGGAGGTGGTTTAGGTTGTGTTGCCAGCAGGGGGCGCTGTAACAACAGCAGTCAGACACACAGGACCCAATGTCTTCTTCCACCCACCCTGAGATGGACTTCATTCTTATCTACTTGTGTGGGTTTATCCAGTGTTTCCTGATAAACTGTTTCTGTGGGGGGATGGATGGGGGAACCCTGATTTGGAGCACTTGCTGAATCCCATAGTCTAAATACTCCCACCATGGCCGATTTCAAGCTACCAACAGTTTAATAATTTGTTGGCCAAGTTCCAGAATATTTAACAATTGGTTCTCAGAAGCCAGCCCTCACCAGCTCCAGCACACCACCCAGAATATTTAACAGACAAACCCATCCATGTGTTTCCCGTGCCGTCTTCCTTGGATGTTCACTCACCCATCCAGCGTTCATTCACTCCACAAATACCTACTGAATGCTGTACTGGTTTTTTTATTGCTGCTCTAACAAATTACTACAAGCTTAATAGTTTAAGACAATACTCATTTATTAGGTCACAATTCTGTTGGTCAGAAGTCCAACATGGTGTGGCTGGATTCTCTGCTCAGGGTTTCACCAGGTTAAAATCAAGGTATCAGCGGGGCTGTGGTTCCCTCCCACCTGGGACTTGAGGTCCTCTTCCAGGTTCCCTGATTTTGATAGAAATTCATTTTCTTCTCTTGCTTTCCAGTGTGGCATCCTCCAGAGGGGCCCCAGCAACAGAGGGTGGAGAATTCTCTTGCTTCTAATTTCTCTGATTTCCCCTTTTGCTGCATCTCTCTCTGACTCTTCTGCCTTCCTCTTCTTTTTCTAAGGGCTCACATGATTATATTGGGCCCTTCCAGACATCCAAGGTAATCTCCCTGGTTTCAAGTCAGTAATCTTAATTACATCTGCAGAATCCTTTGTGCCATTCACCAAGGGGCAAAGGTCATGAGAGCCAAAATTCTGCCTACTGGTGCCTACCATGTTCCAATCACTATTCTTGGCATTTGGGAAACTTCAGTGGACAAAACAGACAAAATGCCCTGCCTTCGTGGAACTTACATTCTAACTAGGGATATAAAACATTTAAGGCTTTCAGCCACATATACACCCTCATAGTCCAGATTTCTTTTGCTTGGGCGTTAATTGAATTTCTGCCTTTTTCCCCCCCGCTAACCAGGGAGGCCCAAGAATTTGTGGAGAAGTATGAAGGAGCCTTGGGAAAGGGGAAAGGCAAGCGACTCTACGCCTATAGGATGCTGATGGCTAAGGTGTGTGGTGCAGAGGCGCAAACCTGTGGGGGGACTTGCTCAACTCCTGAATCTGGGTGACCAATCACAGTGCCTGCCTAGCTTCACCATTTGTGTCCACCTCCCCCAGAATCCTGAACGTGAGGTCCAGTCAACCATTCCAATTTATCCAAGAATGGAAACCAACCGTATCCTGTCCATTTCTCTCTACTTATCTGTGAGGGCTTCAGTATACTTGAGACTTGTTTCCTCTCCAGTGAAGAACTAAACTCACAGAATTAATGATGTTGAATCCACTGGGATCTTATTTTCCAAACCCCCAAATCAAGACTGATTTGGTGGAGACCCAGAGGGCCATGGTGTAATCAGGGTCATACAGAAGGACAACAGTAGTGTCGACGGGGCATTGGGGGCAGCTCTGGTTTATTGAGTTATGCCGTAACCTGAGCTTCTGATTCAGGCTAGGGTAATGATCTCTAATTGGATATTTAATGTGGAACTTATGGAAGTATTCTTCCTTTACCTACTGATCTGAAAAACTATCATTTTCATCCACTTAATTCTTGTATAGGACCTTTTTTGGAGCTTTTATTTGAATTCATCATTTCAGCTATTGATTAATTCTAATGGCTCATAGGGCTTCCTCCTTTTACCTTTCTTTCTCAGAAATGTTTTGGCCAGTCTTGCCTATGTTTTCATATGCATTTTGTTTTGTTTTCTTTGCATTCTTTTTTTCCACATGCATTTTTAAAATTACTTTGCCAAGTTCCAGTATAGCCCATTGAGATTTTGATTGGAAATTTTTTTAAATCCTTGATTTAATTTGGGAAGATTTATCTGTACAATATTTAGTCTTTACATCTAAGAATACCATACATTTCTCGAGCCTTATTTTTACAACCTTCAGCAAAGTTTGTCATTTTCTTCATATAGATCTTTTCCATGTCATATGTTATTTCTACAAAATTTATGTTTTGGTTGCTTTTGTGAATAGAATCATTTTTCCATTTATTTAATAACTAGAGATACCTGGTATGTAGGAAAGCTACGTATTTGAATATTAATTTTTTTTTTCTTTTTTTTGCGTTATGCGGGCCTCTCACTGCTGCGGCCTCTCCCGTTGCGGAGCACAGGCTCCAGACGCGCAGGCTCAGCGGTCATGGCTCACGGGCCCAGCCGCTCTGCGGCATGTGGGATCTTCCCGGACCGGGGCACGAACCTGTGTCCCCTGCATTGGCAGGCGGACTCTCAACCACTGTGCCACCAGGGAAGTCCTTGAATATTAATTTTTTAATCTGGTTCCCCTGTTGTGCTCCCTTATTAGTTCTAATCATTTTCATCTGATTGTGTATGTAAAGGTGTTTTTCTTGGGTTCTTCTAAATCATTCCTGTCCTAAAGTGTGGGTTAGCAATCCTAGAATAGTTTCAATTGATGATGGTGATAGTGGGTCTCTTTGCTTTTCCATTACTTTAATGAAAATGGCTCTACTGTTTCACACTAAGTTGATGGGAGTTGTTGCCTTGAAATAGATTTTCTTTCTCCCAATAAGAAATTATCCTTTTATTTCTAGTTTAATGACTTCCATTTTATTGGAAATAGATGTTAGATTTTATTAAATACCTTTCCCTTCTGTTCATAAACTTACTTTTATCAGGCACATCTGATTTTTCAAGTATTTTATTTATAATTTTTACATAACTTTTCATAAGATTGATTTGAATTTATGTGTGTACATACGTGCACGTACACTATCTTGGCATATTTTAATATTAGGGCTGCACTTGCTTTATAATATTAAACGAATAGCATCACCTCCTTTTTATGCTGTAAATCAATTTGTACAGCTCATTCATTTTTTTGGAAATTTGAAAGATGACACCCTTAAAACTGTATGGATCAGGAAGCATTTTATAGAATAGCTTGATAATTTTTTAATGTTTTTCCAATTGCTATAGTCAAGTTTTAACTTTTTCTTGGGGCCATTTTGATATTTTATATTCTTCCCCAAATTTGATCATTTCATTAAGATTTTCATATGTATTAACAGAAAGTTGCATATAGGTAGTCCCATAATTTTTGTCATTACATTTTACATATGTTGAGTTTTAATCTCTTTTATTCCTAATTTTGTTTTTTTCTTCCTTTTCAGTTATAGTTGCCTGACAACTATCTATGGGTCGTTTATTAATTTTATCTAAAAACCATTTACCACTTAACAACTGCACACTCAAAACTTTTTTCCCAATTAAGGAATGTGTTCTTCACATATACCTGATAAATGGTCTATTCAATCGTGTTTCTAATCAAACAGTTCTAGCTTCTTTGTTAGCAGAAGGATGGCTGCCAACTCTCCATTCTTTGTATTTACTTTCCTTCATGGTTTTTAATTCTTTGCTTTCTCTCTCTTTGCATTCTCAAAAATTTCTCAGGTTTATTCTCAATATCATTGGATCAATTTTCTTCTGTCTGAAAGTGTAATGTTTATTTTCATTCTATTACTGAACTTTTAGCAACCTTGTAATCAATCCTTCCATACTTCACCTGTAACCTTTTTTTTTTTTTCTCCCCCGGCCACGCCATGCAGCTTGCAGGATCTTAGTTCCCCAACCAAATGCAGAGTCTTAACCACTGGACCGCCAGGGATTTCCCCTCCTGTATTCTTTTTTTTTAACTCTCTAAGTGCTAACCTGTACTCTAGAAGCCATATTTTTTGTATCCTACTAAGAATATTGAGCCATCTCTCAAAATTTAATTATGTATCCTGGAGGAAATGCTTTCCAAAAATTTCAAAGAATGGCATCACTTTTTCCTTGTTTTGACGTACTAATTCTCAGGCTTCACTGGTTGTCTTTAGTTATTCAGATCCAGATTTCATCCATGGACAGGATGTGCCTGTGTCTTGTTCGACCACTGTTTGAAATCTGTTTTCCTATATACAGCTGACTAGCAAGATGACATGCACAGCTAGTAACCCAGTCTGAGGACGGCAGCTACCAAATCACACAGCTCTGAGGAAGGGAGTTGGGGGTCTTCTCCCGCCCACGCCCAAGCTCAGTTTTCTGATTCTCTAAACCAATGAAGGAAAGAGCTTCAATGCAGAGCTTCTCCCAGGCCTCTCTCTGCCTCTGCTCCCCGCCCCCAGGCATCATCTTTTCAGGCCAAGATGCCCACAGCCTTGAGGGGCTGTCAGGTGGTTGCCAAGTGATCAACTGGCAGGCTATGTCTCCAGGGGCCTCACTTGACAACATTCATTACTCCATTGGTCCTCTGCCTTGCAAGGCTATATTTTATACTGATTTTATCAGCACCCTGACAGGGGATCTGTCTCTCGGGGGAGGACTCACATTAATAAAGCTTATGAGACTGATATATAAAACCAGATACCAGATTACTAATCTACAAGGAGGAATAACTGGTGCAAGAAATGAAAAAAAAATTTTTTTTCTTTTGCATTACGCGGGCCTCTCACTGTTGTGGCCTCTCCCATTGCGGAGCACAGACTCTGGACGCGCAGGCTCAGTGGCCATGGCTCATGGGCCCAGCCACTCCGCGGCATGTGGGATCTTCCCAGACCGGGGCACGAACCCGTGTCCCCTGCATTGGCAGGCGGACTCTCACCCACTGTGCCACCAGGGAAGCCCAGTGCCTTTTATTTTTGATAGTACAGTTAGTTACATGGGAAACTAAACCATAATCCCAATTCCAATCTATTAATTTGCAATGAAAAAAATTACTGCCATAGAAATCAAAATATTCACAGCCCAGATGATGCGCAAATGCTTTCCTTAGAGACAGACCTAGATAAGAAGCCAAATAAGCCAAAGATGGTTTTTGAGCACAGAATCAGAACTAGGGAAGGGAGAGGAAGCAATGGGGTTGGGGTGTCCATGTCCACCATCTGCCATTCCCCACATCCCTTAATCTGTGGGATCTGTCTTAGGGAGATCTTTGCCGTTATTATCAACCTGTCTTTTGCTTATGAACCCCTCTTCTCCTTGGCATCTGTGAACATTTCCCTCTTCTGACAGGTGGTTTCCTTCCTTATACAGTAATTATCCAATCATGATATAGTCAAAGCCTTCAGGTTTGGAAGCTCGTCTGATTCCTTCAGATAAAATTTCCCTTTTATCCTTTAGCGAATTTACAAAGGAAAATCTCATTTCCTTCATGAATAAGTTCTTTTGAGACCTTTGTAATAATAGAAACTGATCTGAGGATTTTCTCCCTACTTCCTCTTTGCCTGCTGTTTTCTATGAGGTGTTTTTGGTTTTTTTCCATTCCAAATGGATTTATTTCCAGGGGGTGGGGATGTTGGAGAGAAGCCCCTTGAAGAGTTGACAAACTTTCACGCAGCCGGCAGACAGACAGCTATTCAAGTTTCTGATTGGTACAAAGTGTCGGAGCTGGAATAGACCAGCATAATGCCTTCCCAACTACTTTTAGGAAAAAAAAAAAAAAAAACAGGCTGCTGTTTCACTAGGAGAAGAATGGGAAGCCACGGGCTGAGATCTCTTTACCACTTCCACCAGCCTTGTAGTTTAGCAACAGTTCCTATCAGATTAAGGCACTTGGCTGTCTGCCAAATGTAGGTATGAGAGTTATGAAATTTCTTTTTTCTCTTGAATTTTTGGTTTAAGATGAAGGAAGTTGTATCAGAGTTTGCTAAGCCAATTTGATTCCCCAAATCATAAATTATACACAGACTTTCTAAGTTCATATGTAAAGTGTCCAAACCTGAAATTTTATCAGCACTATAGACAAATGCAAAGTATTGTGTTGCCCTTGCTTCTCTCTGACTCACACCTGACTTTGGAAAGTGAAGATGTGCACATCCACCTCTGACAGCCTAGGCTCAACAGCTCCAACATGGCAGCCTCACCCACATGTCAACATGTCAACATCTACATGCACCTCCATCTTCCCCTCCAGGCCCGAAGGCAGCGTGTTAATGAACTGAGGGTGTTGCCTGTTTAATTTCAGAAATGGGTCAAGTTTAAAAGAGACTTCGATAATTTCAAGACTCAATGTATTCCCTGGGAAATGAAGATCAAGGACATTGAAAGTGAGTATTTTGGTGTCATTGTTTTTAGTTCATTTGCTGAAGGGTTTTCCAAGGGTTTGGACTGTGTTCTTGACTAACTGATTAGGTTATGTTATAGGTTCTGTTGTACTAGGAAAAAGATGAAAGCAGAAACTAACACACCATTGTAAAGCAATTATACTCCAATAAAGATGTTAAAAAAAAAGAAAAAAGAAAAGAAAAAACTTTGAACTTTGGACTAGTCAGACCAAAATTTAAGATGTGCTTCTTCTCATCGGTTAGGCCCTTTTTTTCATCTAGAAAAAGAAAAGGGATGTATATTCCACAGACTGACATGAAAATTGAATCCATCACACACATAAAGTCCTCCTTTACGTTAATGTCCTTCTGCAACACTTACATCCACCATCTTTCTCTCTTCAGGTCACTTTGGTTCTTCAGTGGCATCATATTTCATCTTTCTCCGATGGATGTATGGAGTTAACCTCGTCCTTTTTGGTTTAATATTTGGTCTAGTCATAATCCCAGAGGTAAGAAAAGAGCTGCTTACAACTTCAGATAGTGTTGAGGCTTATCATGACAGCCATCTTCATTTATATAAATCAAATACTCTGTTTTACAAAGAATCCGTCATTCATTTTAAATTCTGTGCTCACATCATTTGCCCAGATAGCCGAGTACAAAGAATGGAACCAAATATTTCCATTTCTGAATTAACAGGTGGACCCTACATTTTTCTACCTTTCATTTTACTTTAAAATTAGTGGAGAATTAATATCTCAGTGAGGTTTTTTTCTCTTTCACCTTGAAAAAAAAAGAGATAGAGTGCATTATATCATAATTTATTACCCCAAAGAAACCCTGCATTTGAATAGCACTCCTCACTGTTCTCCCAGATAAAATCTTATTATGGGTGTAGGTAGATCCTTACCTATAGCTTAGTAATTGAGAGACAAGAAAGGAACAAGTGACCTGTACAAATTTACACAGTGAATTTGTGGTGAATGAGATTCCAGGTTTCCAGAGTGTTGGCCTGGGGCCTTTTCCAGGGGTGCCTGTGGTCCATTAGCGCTTAGCACAGTAATTGCTACAGTCCTGCCTGAACCGTTTGGTGCTTGTGCTGGGTACACAAGTGGATTTACCTTTACAGCCTACAGGGTAATGATATTTATGCATTTAGTATTTTTTCCTTTCAGGTTTATTAATTGGCTCTATGATAGGTTACTGATTCCTACTTTATTACAAATGATTCCATGAGAATATTAGAGTCAACTCTATCTGTAGTCACATCTTTGGGAAACTTTCCTGAACATCTATTTTTCACAAAATTAAAAGACTTCCATGGAATGTGAATTAAATCAGATTAGTTAGAAGAAGTTGAGGGTTTATTATAATAGTACTTGGTAGCAAAGGAGTGTTATATTATTGATAAAACCATTGAATTCTTTTCTACATTACCCAAAGAGTGTACTTACAATTATGTCATTAACTAACCTTTATACTCCTTTATGTGCACACCTGGAAATCAAGGATTATGAGTCAGTCCACTTTGTCCTATATATATTCTTAAACCATTGTCACTCTCCAATACAGAGATAAAGATTTTATTTTATTTTGTTAAATGATTCCATATGAACATTTTTTTTAATTTTTATTTATTTTTGGCTGCATTGGGTCTTCGTTGCTGGACGCAGGCTTTCTCTAGTTGCAGCGAGCGGGGGCTACTTCATTGCGGTGCGCGGACTGCTCATTGCGGTGGCTTCTCTTGTTGTGGAGCACGGGCTCTAGGCATGCGGGCTTCAGTAGTTGCAGCACGCAGGCCCTAGAGTGCACGGGCTTCGGCAGTTGCAGGCTGCAGTCTCAGTAGTTGTGGTGCATGGGGTCTAGGGTGCGCGAGCTTCAGTAGTTGTGGCTTATGGGCTGTAGAGCGCAGGCAGTAGTTGTGGCACGTGGGCTTAGTTGCTCCACGGCATGTAGGATCTTCCCGGATCAGGGATTGAACCTGTGTCCCCTGCACTGGCAGGTGGATTCTTAACCACTGCACCACCAGGGAAGTCCCCAGAGATAAAGATTTTAAACCTTCTGGCAAATGTGTACAAATGCTCTTGAAAACAAATCTGGTTCTCCCCAGTATTGTCAGAAGTTAAATAGAAGTTTTACTTCTCCCCTCCATAGCCAAGGAGGAGACAGTTTTCCCCAGTAGTTACTGGGGAAATTTACTCTCACAGACTCTTTGCTTTCTTCCTGGGAGTTTTTGATTCCAAATAGATTTATTTCCATGAGAACAGATTACATTTAAATGCTGTAGGCCTATGAGACATCACTAGAATTTTGCTATACAGTGGTCCAGAAAGGCAGTGTTTTGGGAAAGGTGAATAATTTTTAAAACACTGAGGTTTTATTTTTCCTCAAAGAAAATATTACATTTTATATAATTTATATAAATTGATATAATTTATAAATATTTCCTATCAAGGGGACATTTGTTTGAAACAATGAAAATTTAGTGATTGTTGCATTCCACTGAAGCAGCCAAGACCTGAACTGTTCAGGAAAGAACACCTTGATTTGATTGGCAGGTGTTTGGGAAGCCGTCTTGGAGTAGGTTGGGAGAAAGAAGAGAAAGAGAGAGACTGGGAAAGAGTAGAACAGACAAGACTTGATGATAGGTTGGATAACAGCAGTTGAGAATGTGGGGTATCCTAAGATGCCCTCTTAATTAGGATAGTGGGAAATTGGCTTCATGGGAATCTGACACATCCAAATTCACTGCAGGTAGAGTAGAGGAGATGACCTGTTTGTTCAAGGACACGGCTAACTTCAGGGCCCAAAGGTTTTAAGCCTAAACCTAATGATCAGATATTCCTATGGCTCATGGCTGTTTTAAGGCTAACCACAGTGACTCAGAGGGTCTAGGAATAAGAATATTAGAAGTGCTCAAATGTTAGACAACTTTAACAGAATTTTTCCTCATACTCATCTTCTTTTGCCACAAATCCTTGATACATTTTAATGGAATCAAACTTCTCTGAATGTTTGAGTGAATCTTGTTCAGCTTTAATGACAACTGCCGGCAGATCCCAGAATGCCTTCATGGTCCCAGGAGTGCCCTCAGTTATGCTGCAGGAGCTCACTATCAAGGCCTTGCTACACGATGAGCTCATGTATTTCTTGTCTTAACATGGGCTGCATATGAAAATCACTTGGGGAGTTTTTTTTAAAATATGAAGTCCAATCAATTGAATCTGAATCTCTGAGAAGGTGGCTCTGGCGTCCCTATTTTAAAAGTTCCTATGGTAGGCAGGCATCTGAGATTGCCGCCAGTGATCCTCTTCTCCTGGTAGCATGCCCTTGTATAATCAATCCCCTCCACCTGAGTAAAGCCTAGACCTTGTGGCATGCTTTTAACAAATAGAATATAACCAAAGTGACAGGCTGTCACTTACATGATTAGGTTATAAATGACTGTGACTTCCATGTGGCATTTTCTCTTGGTTCCCTTCTTGGCTCGCATGCTTTGATGAAGCAACTGCCAGACTGGAGAGGCCCACTGGAACAGAACTCAGTGTGGCCTTTGGACAAGAGCCAGCAAGGAACTGAGGCCCTCAGTCCAACAGCCCATGAGGAACTAAATCTTGCCGACAATTACGGGAGTGCATCTGGAATCAGATCCTCCCCCACCAGGCCTTCAGATGAGACCAAAGCCCTGGCAGACACCTTGACTGAAGCCTGTGAAAGACCCTGAAGCAAAGGACCCAGCTAAGCCCATCCCAGGTTCCTGACCTGCAGAAATGAGGAGATAGTTTTATGGTAATTTGATATACAAAAATAGATGACAAATACAGCTCCCCAAGTGATCCTAATATGCAGCCAGGGTGTACATTGCTGGTGTACCTTAATTAAATAATTCTTTAAAATATCTTGTAAGTTCTGCTCTAGGGTTCACATAGGCAGCACTCAGTCAGTAAGCCTCATATGGGTACTTCCTCTAAAAATAACTATTAAAACTTTCAGATATATGGAAAGGTATAAAGAATGAGCCCATTTGCCTGCCACTAAGTTTAAAAATAAAAAATTACACACACACTAGAGTCCTCCATCTACTTCTCCCCAATTATGTTACCCACATAACTCTCACAAGTAATCACTCTCCTGAACTTTCCATTTCAACTTACATTTTAAAATGTATTGGCTTAAAGTTAAATAACATAGTTTCTTTTTTTTTAAATCACTCATGTATCTGAAGTTATATTCCCTTTTGCATGATAGTGTAATTTTTTCCTCTCTCATTTACATTTGTTGATTCTCTGACATGTTGCATGCCGCAGCTAGGGATTCCGTGTGCTGCAACTAAAGATCCCACATGTGGTAACGAAGATCCTGCATGCCACAGCTAACACCCAGAGCAGCCAAATAAATAAATATTTTTAAAAAATATATATGACTGAATAAACAGGAAAGCACATTCCTGGAAGGGAAAACTTAATATCATAAAAAAGATCAATCCTTCCTAAATCAATATGTAAATTTAATACAATCCTTATTTTTTAAATAATTAAGGCTGTGAATCAAGTCATATATATAAAGGGGTATTAATAATAGAATTATGTACACATGAAGAACTAGAAATACTCCAATTAGTCCAACAGTAGGGGATTTGTAAGTAAGGTTATGGTACATACATGTGATTAGATATTTTAAAGTCATTTTATTTTGAAAAATACCATATGCCATAGGGAATTGGTCATAAAATAATATTAAGCTAGATAATCAAGCTAAAACGTATATAAAACTCAGAAACTCTGAAAGGAAATACATGAATATTTAACAGTCATTATCTTTAGGATGTGAAGGTGACAGGTAATTTTTTAAACATTCTTCTATACTTTTTCACATTTTCTACAATGAGTATGTAATACTTTTAATTACTTTTTTTTTTTTTTGCGGTATGCGGGCCTCTCACTGCTGTGGCCTCTCCCGTTGCGGAGCACAGGCTCCGGACACGCAGGCTCAGCGGCCATGGCTCACGGGCCCAGCCGCTCCACGGCACGTGGGATCTTCCCGGACCAGGTCACGAACCCGTGTCCCCTGCATCGGCAGGCGGACTCAAACCACTGCACCACCAGGGAAGCCCGAGTATGTAATACTTTTAAAATCAGGAAAATGATTAATGTTATTTAAAGGAAAAAGAATGGATATTCCTGCTCTGAGAAGAGATTTAACCCACTATGTGCACATCTCCGTGTGTTTGTATCTTCTCCACGTGTAATTGTGTCGTTCTGTCCCAACACAAGGTGCTGATGGGCATGCCCTATGGAAGTATACCCAGAAAGACAGTGCCTCGGGCTGAGGAAGAAAAAGCCATGGATTTTTCCGTCCTTTGGGATTTTGAGGTACCAACATGCCAATGCACTTCCATTTTGTGATTGTGGATAAGTGTGAAGTGTTTAATTATTGGAAAGCCAGTGCTTTAACCAAATGGGATCATAGCACTGTGCAAAATGAGCTAGCCAACCATGTCCTCCTAGGCCCCCTTCGTGGGTCCTTTTATCACACACTCTGATAAACGTGACTTCCCCATGAGGCCACTGGTCCCCGCATTCTGCCAGATCTATGTAAGGTGATATTACACGATGGTTTTATCTCGGCATAACCACAGTAAGACCCCCGGGCTATTGCCAGTCCAGCCTTTCCCCAACCTTCACGTGACATCTTCAGCTGAATATCCTACCTGCTTCTCAAGTCCAACAACTATCCAACCAAACCTACATCACTTTTTCCCATTTCATTTATTGGAACCACTGTTCATCCAGCCATTCAAGTCTGAAACCTGAAAGTCATCCCACATTTCCTCTCCTCACCACCACCCCTCACATCAAATCACTCACTAAATCTGAGCCTATCTACTAAACGTTTCTTAAACCAGTCTCCTTTTCTCCATCCCTCGCACCTCTCCTCAAACCTCACTGTTCCAGGACCACTGTCAGAATCACTACCTCTCCTCCCTGCCTTGGCTTGTCTCCTCAAATCTCCATTCCCTCTGCTGCCAGGTGACCTTTCTAAAATGTAAACCTGACCCTGTCACTCCCCACCTCCGATATTCATTTATTCCCACTCCCAGATGGAATAAAGCCGAGTGTTCTGAATTGGGTTTACAAAAGAATTGTTCATGACCTGGCTGCCCTCTACCTCTCCAGTCCCAGTCCCATGTCTGTCTAAGACCTCACACTTCATGCCTCAATATTATCAACTTTCGGGGAAGTCCAGTGCCTCCCTGCCTTTGCTCACGATCCTATGCCTGGAACATCCCTCCCTCTTTTTGGAATCCTCATACCCCCGTGCCTCTGGGGGCCTTGGTCTGCAGCTCCAAGGAGTTCCAGAGGCAGGAGGACTGGCTGTGGTGGTTCAAGCAACACATCTTGCTGCTGCCATCCTTCACTCTCATAGTCAGATTCAAGACACCTCAGAAATGTGCGAAAGTAAGTTGGAGTATTTTTCTAAGTCATTTGGAACAGGTGTGTTCCAAATAACTACTATACCACTAAGAATTACTACTACCACTATATGCTACTACTAAGAATTTCCTTTATTCTTTATTTCACCCAAGGGCCGCTGTTGAAATGTCCTATCCACTCAAAACCAACAATTTATTCAGCAACAATCCCATGTTGTATTTGTTGTTGTTGCCAAGGATAAATTTTTATTTTTCAAGTAAAAATTAAAATTTTGGAAAACTTATATCCATCACCATGACAGTGGCAGTTTCTCAGTAGTTAAATACTTTTCTGATGAGATCAATGGAGATATTAACAGTGTGATTTTTTTTATATTGTATAAGAAATGTGTCAACATTTGGCATATGTTCACAACTCAATGAACCATTACTTTCCAGATGACCAATACATGATGTTACAAAATCATGTGTGAGTAAAAGATCCCACATCTTGATAGATTTTTTTTTTGTTTGTTTTGTTTTTTTGATAGATTTTTAAAAACTATATTTTGAGATAATTTTAGACTTACAGAACAGTTACATAAATAGTACAGAGAGTTCCCATATACCCTTCACCCATTCACCTTATGATAACATCTCATATACCCATAGAACAATTATCAAAACTAAGAAATTAATCTTGATACAATATCATTAACTAAAATATAATATTCATTTGTATTTCACCAGTTTTTCCACTAATGTTCTTTTTCTATCCCAGGACCCAACTCACAATCTCACATTGATTTAATAGTCACATCTCCTTACTCCCCTCCGATCTGTGACTGTTCTCTGTCTTTCAGTGACCTTGACACTTTTGAATAGTGCTGGTCAGTTGTTTGCCCCTGAATTTGGGTTTGTCTGATGTTCTCTCATGATTGTATTAAGCTTATGCATTGTTGGGGAGGTAGCGTGCCTTTCTCAGAGTGTCAAATCAGGGTTACATTATGTTGACCACTTGGTTAAAGTGATATCTGCCAGAATTTGGGCTTCCCTGGTGGTGCAGTGGTTGAGGGTCCGCCTGCCGATGCAGGGGCCACGGGTTCGTGCTCTGGTCTGGGAAGATCCCACGTGCCGCGGAGTGGCTGGGCCCGTGAGCCATGGCCTCTGAGCCTGCGTGTCCGGAGCCTGTGCTCCGCAACGGGAGAGGCCACAACAGTGAGAGGCCCGCGTACCACAAAAAAAAAAAAAAAAAAAAAAAAAAATAGTGATATCTGCCAGAATTCTCTGCTGTAAAGTTAGTATTTTTCCCTTTTTAATTACTTAGTATTGGGGGGAGAGCAATGGATCTTAAGGTATGAAAAAGTTCATTATGTGATTCATATTCCACATTGCAACTAACCTTTAAGAAATAACTATTTAGTTATTGGGTTGAGGTATGATATCGAAGAAGAAATAGCCCCAAGTATATGAAAAAATACTATTAAAATTTGGCTCCCCTGTCCAACTACATATCTGTGTGAGGCCAGAATAATCCCGTTTTATATTCAGCAAAGACATAAAAGAAGTACTAAAGTTATAAATTAATTTTACACCTAAATAATTATACCTAAAAAGTGTGCTAATTACACGTAAAGCCAATTATACCAAAAACCAAAACCAAAATGAAACTTGAAGCTCAGGTTAGATTGTGAGCCTTATCACATAGTTTTCTTTAGAAGTTTTGAAATACTGAGAAAGTTCACGGACTCCCTTCTAGTTCCAGAGTGTTAAATTAAGACCCTGAGCACTGGGTGGGGGTTGGAGGGGGAATTTGGAGCCGTGTGTGCATGTGCACACAGACACACAGACACACACACACACACACACACACACACACACCCCTTATCCCTAATTCGTCCTGAATGTTAACAACACTCTCCTCCCTGTGCTGTGTCTCCCTGCACTCTGTGTAACGGAGAAATAGACAGGAGAAAGACGAGGGGAGACGTGGAGACAGGCATAGACTCTGGGGCAACTGGGGGAGTGAAGGGAAGAACAGGAACATCGAGAACCCTTCCTTCCTCCCCTCCGGCTCCCGTCACACCCGAGAAAGAAACCCCAGGTCGATGGAAGCGTCCGATGACGGTCACTTTGAGCTTACAAACCCAGAGCATTTGGCTTTGCTGCCCCACAGGGCTACATCAAGTATTCCGCTCTCTTCTACGGCTACTACAACAACCAGAGGACCATCGGGTGGTTGAGGTACAGGTTACCCATGGCTTACTTCATGGTGGGGGTCAGCGTGTTCGGCTACAGCCTGATGATCGTCATTAGATCGTAAGTATGACTGTCTCATTTACAGGCTTTTAATTTTCTTCCCAGAAACAGCCCACTCCTGTGGCCACACTGTGCCTACTTACCTTCTTGTTGGGGATTTAGAGAGAAAACAAGGAAACAAATAAAGCAAATGCAGGTTGTCATATGGGGTATAAAAGACATAGACAGGGTAATGTGGGAAGTTCTGGGAAATGGGATAGACAAGTCCTTTAGAGGAGGCTGGGCACAGCACTTTAGACAAAGCAAGAGTATGTGCAAAGGCCCTGAGGCAGCAAATATCCTACTGAGTCCCCAAAACTGTCAAAAAAAACAGTGTGGCTTGAAAGGGAACATGTACCCTAATTAAGGAGAGGCTGGAGAAGTTTCCAAGGCCTGTTTCTGTTTTCCCCAGAGCCCAGCATCCTCAGAAAAACCCTCTGCTTCTCTGTCTAGCTGGCATGTGAGAACTGAGCTGGTGCCTACAAAGATACAATGAGGCTAAACCAGTGTATATGGCAGTGAGTAACCTTGGTGTCCTCTCCAGCCCCAACTCTACTTGTCTCTGTGGTCAGAAATGGCTTTTTAATATGTCTGTGCCTCTTAATTCATGTTCTCTGAAGAAAAACTTTGGCCCAGCCCATGAACTGCCTTCTTCTAAGTCAGAGGACCCCAGTTAGCACAGGCTGTGCAGGGTGGGGACACAGTCTGTGCACAGACCTGACCACCAGGCCCACTCACCCTTCAGCAGAGCCACAAGAGAAGAACAGGGCCGCTGTGTGTCCACAGGAAACAGAGCACCCTTGAAGCCCGGCTAGAACCCCTGGAAAGCGGAAAGCAATGTGCGGGCCCAGCTGGGTTTTCTATCTCATCGTCTCAGGGGAAAATGCTGCTGTTTACAAGAGCCTGCCTGGCACAAGACGGTAACCACTAGGTGACATGTGGCTGCCCAGCTCTATCAAACAAAAGGAAAAAAAAAAAGGAGACAGGCGAGACAGGCTTGGTTTTATTCTTAGCCTTCACATTGCTATGTTTTTCCCTGTCAGATTTAAGGATATGGAATGTTTCTCTGTTGAACCAAAAAATTAGCTAAGGCAACCAGGCCCCTGGAACTGCAAATCCCAAAAGCCCAACACATCAGATAGAGTCAAAGAGGGGCAACCCCACCCCCATTGTATCTGATGGGACCCCTGCCTGGGATTCCATGGTTCCCACCGGGCTGATCTCCAGGAAGCACAAAGAGAGTGGTACCAACCAGGGCTCTTGGCTTCCTTAATCAGTAGAAATTGACTAGAGGCCAGATGAGAAATTCAGGCAAGCCTTTCCTGGGGCCGCTGCTGCAGCAGTGGAGGAGCAAGAACAAACAGCAGGTTCCCTTGCTTGCTCACTGAGGGGGGGAAAGCTTGTTTCTTATATGGGGTGAAGGTAGGGGCGTGTCCAGGGGTCAGGCCAGAGGTGTGGCTTAGGTGTTTTGCCCATCCCTTAGGTGGTGTGTGCAGGCATGCTCAGTACTCTGCTTTTGCTCCCAATGCCCTGTTTTTGCTCCTGGCTCTTCATAAATGGCAGTTGGGTTTTTTTTGTTTTTTGTTTTGTCTTTTTGTATCTTTTGGGTCCAGAATTTGCCCCAACTGAGCATGCACACAGTTATTTTTAGTCCCATATAGTTTCTTTGTATTTTGTAGCTCAAGGAGAGGTGTGTCCAGCACTGCAGCAAAGGGTCCCAGGTCCCAGGCCTGTCTCAGAGGATGAGGACAGGTAGGAGGAAATAGGGGGCTATCAAGGCAGGTCCAAGGTACTTTCCTCCGAGCTTGCTTAAGAAAAAGATGTGCGTATTATCTGGTTGTAGTACTAACCGCCTCAGGGCTTATTGAATTTTACATCAGAAAAATATGATTTTTATCCAAGAAAACAGATGAATTAGAAGGGGATATTCTCTGTGAGAATGAAGAGTTCTAAAACATTTGCAGGTGAGTCAAGCTGCAAGACATCAGATGTCAGGGTAGAAAACATGGTTAGTGTTTTCTGTACCCTGCAGACTCCTTGTTACGCAGTGGACACCATGTGTGCTCGCAGGGGACTCTGAATTTGGGGGGAAGGTGCTCTGGCTATCGGTAGCCTGATTCAAATCCATCTTGGCTCTTTCCCTTCACTGGATATCTGCCACCTGTGCCCAAGACTAGCTTAGGCCAGGTTTCCTTTGGGCTGACACAGTAGACACAGGGGCAGACATAACAACAGCAGTGTGCACCCTACAGGATGGCCGGCAACACCCAGGGCAGCACGAACGACGGGGAGAGCGATAACTTCACATTCAGCTTCAAGATGTTCACCAGCTGGGACTACCTGATCGGGAATTCAGAGACGGCCGACAACAAATACGCCTCCATCACCATCAGCTTCAAGGTAGTCGCTTCAGGGCCATTCCCACTTCCCGGGGGAACTTTGGGTCCCTCCTGTCATTGGGAGACTTCTCCCAGCTGGGGCATGGGAAATAAGATCCCTGATTAATTTGTGGTAAGAGCTTTACCAGAAGTGGGAGCATAGCTCTCAAGCCTTCAAGAAAGAATGTTCATGGCTGGTACCCACCATCTGTTTCTTAACATGGCAGAGAATCATGGAGCTGGTCCCTGGTTCCGCCTCTTTCCTCATGGAACTGCTTTCTGCTGGAGGAAGTGAAAGGACACACTTGGGGCAGCCGTTCTCAACATTTACACATGTTTGCATAATCTAAGGAGCATTAAAAATCTTCTGGGCCCCACCCCTAGAGATTCTGGTGTAATTGGTCTGGGGTGGGGTCCTGGCATTGGTTTTTTTGTTTTGTTTTGTTTTGTTGCGGTATGCGGGCCTCTCACTGTTGTGGCCTCTCCCGTTGCAGAGCACAGGCTCAGCGGCCATGGCTCACGGGCCCAGCTGCTCTGCGGCATGTGGGATCTTCCCGGACCGGGGCAAGAACCCTTGTCCCCTGCATCGGCAGGTGGACTCTCAACCACTGCGCCACCAGGGAAGCCCCTGGCATTGGTTTTTTAAAAAATCCCCCAAGAACACCCACAAAGAGTTGAGAACCCGGTTTGGGGGTGTGGGAATAAAGGAATCAATTAAGTGTACAACTCCACACTTAATTATCTATTAATTTGTTCACAAGAGAGATATGAGGTGGCCTACAGAATATAGAACGAAAACAAGCCTGAGGTGAGCAGATGAATGAAGGCAGAAGCAGTGCACATCTCACTTTTCCCGCCATGACTGTAAAAACCATTCAGAGTTCTTATTTATTTATAACATCTTTATTGGAGTATAATTGCTTTACAATGGTGTGTTAGTTTCTGCTTTATACAAAGTGAATCAGCTATACATATACATATATCCCCATATCTCCTCCCTCTTGCCTCTCCCTCCCACCCTCCCTATCCCACTCCCCTAGGTGGTCACAAAGCACCGAACTGATCTCCCTGTGCTATGTGGCTGCTTCCCACTAGCTATCTATTTTACGTTTGGTAATGTATATATGTCCATGCCACTCTCTCACTTCGTCCCAGCTTATCCTTTCCCCTCCCCTTGTCCTCAAGTCCATTCTCTACGTCTGCGTCTTTATTCCTGTCCTGCCCCTAGGTTCATTAGAACCTTTTTTTTTTTTTATATTCCATGTATATGTGTTAGCGTACAGCATTTGTTTTTCTCTTTGTGACTTACTTCACTCTGTATGACAGACTCTAGGTCCATCCACCTCACTACAAATAGAGTTCTTTTTTTTTAATTGAAGTATATTTGATTTACAATGTTGTGTTAATTTCTGTTGTATAGCAAAGTGATTCCATTATACATATATATTCATTTTCATATTCTTTTCCTAGGTTACTACAAGTTATTGAATATAGTTCCCTGTGCTATACAGTAGGACCTTGTTGTTTGTCTATTTTGTATATAGTAGTTTGCATCTGCTAATCCCAAACTCCTAATTTACCCCCCCCTTTCTCCTTTAGTAACCATAAGTTTGTTTTCTATGTCTACGAGTCTGTTTCTGTTTTGTAAATAAGTTCATTTGTGTCATATTTTAGATACCACATATAAGTGATATCATATGGTATTTGTCTTTCTGTTTCTGCCTTACCTCACTTAGCATGATGATCTCTAGGTCCATCCATTATTTCATTCTTTTATATGGCTGGGTAATATTACATTGTGTGTGTGTGTGCGTGTGTGTACGCCACATCTTCTTTATCCATTCATCTGTCAATGTACTCTTAGACTGCTTCCATGTCTTGGTGCTTATAAATAGTGCTGCAATGAACATTGGGGGTGCATATATCTTTTCAAATTAGAATTTTTGTCTTTTCCAGATATATGCCCAGGAGTGGGATTGCTGGATCATGTGGTAACTCTATGTTTAGTTTTACTATTCTCCACAGTGGCTGCAGTTCCCACCAACAGCATAGGAGGGTTCCCTTTTCTCCACACCCTCTCCAGCATTTATTATTTGTAGACCTTTTAATGATGGCCATTCTGATAGGTGTGAGGTGATACCTCATTGTAGTTCTGATTTGCATTTCTCTGATAATTAGCATGTTGAGCATCTTTTCATGTGCCTGGTGGCCATCTGTATGTTTTCTTAAAAACCATTCAAAGTTCTTGATAGTCCTCAAAAAAAAAGATAAATAAAGTTCTTGATAGTCCAGTGCTTCTCCTGTCTGATCAGTCAGACTTTTTTACCCCAGGACCTTGCAGAGGTCAGATCTACACCGCAACGGTGCTTGGTTGTCTTGCCTACTTCTCTCTCTTCTCCCTGGCCCTTCTGGGAGGAGAAGTGGGCTGCTGCCCACTGATACCAATCGTTGCCTACAGAAGACAGGTACACCCACCAGGGACAGGGCTTGGGTTCAGCAACTCACTACATGGGTTTCATGAGCCCCAGAGTCAGCTTGGCAGTGGGTAGAGCAGGGAGCGGGCTCAGTTCTCCTTCTCCTTCTTCTCAGCAATGTGAAGCCTGTGGTGGAGCATCCAAGGGCAGGGTAGGGGTCAACAAGGGCTTTGACCCTTCCTTCGGGACCACTAGAGAGAGATAAAGAAGGTCAATGCCTGTGAAGCACTTTGAACATATGGGAAGGAGAAGGCTTTCCCTCTGAGTCTGTTAAAAACCACTTATATAACAGGACACGTCGTGAGAACTGTGTACGTTAATGTATACTAACTACCTGATGAGTTAGTTGAAACTGAACCCGAACACAATAACTGTTAATTGATTGAAAAATCTCCTTCCTTCTCCCAAGGCAATAGAAATAAAAACAAAAATAAACAAATGGCACCTAATCAAACTTACAAGCTTTTGCACAGCAATGAAAACCATAAACAAAACAAAAAGACAACCTACAGAATGGGAGAAAATATTTGCAAATGATGCAACCGACAAGGGCTGAATTTCCAAAATATACAAACAGTGCATACAACTCAACAGCAAAAAAACAAACAACCCTATCCAGAAATGGGCAGAAAACCTAAATAGACATTTCTCCAAAGAAGACATACAGATGGCCAATAGGCACATGAAAAGCTGCTCAACATCACTAATTATTAGAGAAATGCAAATCAAAACTACAATGAAGTACCACCTCACACGAGGTGGAGAAAAGGGAGAAAAGGGAACCTTCCTACACTGTTACTGGGAATGTAAGTTGGTGCAGCCACTATGAAAACAGTATGGACGTTCCTCAGAAAACTAAAAATAGAATTACCATATGAGCCAGCAATCCCACTCCTGTGCATGTATCCAGACAAAACTGTAATTCAAAAAAGATACATGCACCCCTATGTTCATAGCAGCACTATTCACAGTAGCCAAGACATGGAAACAACCTAAATCTCCATTGATAGATGAATGGATAAAGAAGATGTGGTACAATGGAATACTACTCAGCCATATAAAAGAACAAAATAATGCCATTTGCAGCAACATGAATGCAACTAGAGATTATCATATTAAATGAAGTAAGTCAGAAAGAGAAAGACAAACACCATATGATATCACTTACATGTGGAATCTAAAAAATGACACAAATGAACCTATCTAGGAAACAGAAAGAGACTCATGGACATAGAGAACAGACTTGTGGTTGCCAAGGGGGAGGGAGGTGGAGGAGGAATGGGAGTGGGAGGTTGGGGTTAGCAGATGGACGCTTTTATATATAGAATGGATAAACAACAAGGTCCTACCATATAGCACAGAGAGCTATATTCAATATCCTATGATAAACCATAATGGAAAAAGAATATTTTTTTAAAGAATGTATATATATATAACTGAATCACTTTGCTGTACAGTAGTAATTAACACAACATTGTAAATCAACTACACTTCAATTAAAAAAAAATCTCCCAGGTACTTTGGTGTCCGGGAGACCTCATTTTCCATCCTGGCTCTGCCATGTACTAATTGTGTCTTTCTATGAAAAACTTACTAATGCAGGATACAAGGTTAATAATAAAAAATCTATTGTATTTTTATACACTAGCAGCAAATAATTAGAAAATAATTTAATTCCATTTTCAATAAAATGACATAAAGTACAAAAAATTCCAAGGAATATAGATTTAACAACAACAACAACAAAATGTGTGACTGCCTACACCAAAAAGTACAAAACATTGCTGAAAGGAATTAAGAAGCTCTAAATAAATGGAAAAATATACCATGCCCATGGATTAGAACAGAGGTCAGCAAACTATGGCCCAGGGTCCAAATCCAGCCTGCTGCCTTTTTTTTTTTTTTTTTTTTTTTTT